CTGCATTTTCACATCCACACAGAAACCTAAAAATTCTGGGTCCTTGTGACCAGCCTTGTACTTTCATATTATGGTTTATGTTCTGAGTCCTTGGCTGTACTGTTTTGATTATTGTTTTTCCCTGGTTTCAGTTATGGTTGTCGAGGATTTAGTCCTTAGGTTTTGTGTGATGGCTTCCCGTGTTGTTTCTGCTGTACCTTTCTGTCCCATGTTTCAGGTCCCCATGTTGTCTCCCCAGTCTGTTAAGTTTACATGTCTAGAGTTCAGTCAGTGTGTTTCCTGTTTTACTTTGAAGGTCCGTGTCTCATGTCATTGTTTTTTTTTGCTTCCCTTGTCTCGTCCAGCCTAAGACAGAAGGAGAACTGTGCTCTCCTTCTGTGTCACAATCCCCTCGTTTTCCCTCAATGTATTTAAGCCCTGTGTTTCTCATTGTTACTGTTGCGTCAGCCCTTATAGCTGTGTGTTTCTCCCCCTGTCTCCTTGTGCATTAGTTTTCCCCAGTTTAGTTTTGTATTGTTATTTGTGTCGCCTCCTCGCCAGCAATAAAGCTGTTCTTTTTGAGTTGTCAAATTAAGTGTCACATGGGAACTGGAGCTTATCATAGCTGTCTGGGTGGACTACACACTTTTACATGTCAACAGTTTTTCAAATGTATTTTGAAAATCGTTCATGGAGTCACCAAGAACCAATGAAGTGAACTAAAAGGCAAGGCAAGTTTATTTGTATAGCACAATTCAACAACAAGGTGATTCAAAGTGCTTTACAGAGACATTAGAAACAAGAACAAATAAAAAGCATGATTTAAAATTGATTAAAACAAGCAAATAAACTAACTAACTAATTAACAAACAAACAAACAACAGTATATAAAATCAAAACAGATAAAATCAGAACAGTAGATAAAATCAGTAGTTAAATGTAAGTTTTGAAATTTAAGCTTAAAAGTGTGGATTTGGTGCTTTATTCAAATGCAGCTGAGAACAGGTGAGTCTTCAACCTGGATTTAAATAAACTGAGTGTTTCAGCTGATCTGAGGCTTTCTGGGAGTTTGTTCCAGATATAAGGAGCATAAAAGCTGAATGCAGCTTCTCCGTGTCTGGTTCTGACTCTGGGAACTGATAAAAGACCGGATCCAGATGACCTGAGGGATCTGGAAGGTTCATACTGGGTCAGGAGGTCACTGATGTATTTTGGTCCTAAACCATTCAGAGCTTTATAGGCCAGCATCAGAACTTTAAAGTCTATCCTCTGACGGACAGGCAGCCAGTGTAAAGACCTCAGAGCTGGACTGATGTGGTCCACTTTTTTGGTCTTAGTGAGGACTCGAGCAGCAGAGTTCTGAATGAGCTGTAGTTGTCTGACTGATTTTTTAGGTAGACCTGTAAAGATGCTGTTACAGTAATCAAGCCTACTAAAGATGAATGCATGGACTAGTTTTTCCAGGTCCTGTTGAGACATCAGATCTTTTATCCTTGAAATATTCTTGAGGTGATAGTAAGCTGACTTTGTTATTGTCTTAATGTGTTTTTCTAAGTTTAGGTCTGCATCCATCACTACACCCAAATTTCTCGCCTGGTTTGTGGTTTTTAGGTGTATAGATTGAAGTTCTCTGGTGACCTGTAATCGTTTTTCTTTGGCGCCAAAGACTATTACCTCAGTTTTGTTTTTGTTTAGCTGGAGAAAATTGTGGCACAACCAGTCATTAATTTCCTCAATGCATTTACCAAGAGCCTGTACAGGGCCTCGGTCTCCTGGTGACATTGTGATATATATTTGTGTGTCATCTCTGTGGGTTTAAGGTTTGGGTTTTGTTAATTTAACTTTAAATTAAAATGAAAGCAGTGTGTAACCTTTCATATGTATCTGAGCTGGTTCCCAGTAAAGTCTGAACTGGGACTGTGTGTGATGCAGAGAGGTGGAGACTGGAGGTCTTGATGGAACTACAAAGCTTGTAATCATGTTTCCTGTTGTTTGAACTGTGTTTGTGTTCAGACTTTAAACCAGAGCCAGACGTCGTCTACTCTTCACTGAAGTAGTCCACCAGTCCAACCACTGACGTCCAGCTGCTGGTCTCTAACTGGTCCCCCAGCACCTCAGACCAGAGGACATCCACATGTTGTTCTTTATTTTATTTTTTTTTACTTACCTGAACAACTATGATAAAAATATATGAGTATGTATTTTTACCTGGAGTTTTAAAATTCTATTTTCCTGTAAAATCATCAATAACAATAAACATATGTTTGTGTTTTATGACCACAGTTAAGTTTCCTTGTTGTTTTTTATTTAAAATGTGCCTTAAAAACCGTCTTCTTTTTCCCCAGCTGTTAACTTTATCTGCATTAAAAGATTTTATTCTGTGTTAGTCATGTGGTTCTATGGGTTTCAAGACGCCCAGGTACCTAAAGCTGCTCACCCTCTCCACTTCAAGGCCCTGGATAGACAGCGGTGGGTGAGGCCTCCTGTTCTTCCTCGTGTCCACAATCATCTCCTTTGTCTTGTCAGTGTTGAGGGTGAGGTTGTTGTCCTCACACCATGACACCAGACCAGCCACTCTCTATAAGCCCGTCCCCTCCAGTGATGCGACCGATCACTGCAGTGTCATCCGCGAACTTCAAAATGATATCTTTGTTGGAGGCACAGTTGTGGGTGTACAGGGTGTAGAGGATGGGGACTGAGGACGCAACCTTGTGGACGTCAGTGTTTGTAATAATGCTGGCTGAAGTCCTGTGGCCGATCCTGACAGACTGAGGCCTGCCAGTCAAGAAGTCCTGTAGCCAGTCACATAGAGTGGGGTGCAGGCCGAGTGTTGCCAGCTTGTGAATGAGATTGTGAGGGATGACAGTGAAGCTTCAAAAGGGAATGATTCACATATGAGGTCTGCTGCCACCTACTGGTAAAACTGGGTGTTACATCAGCGCTAGAGCTCAAGTTTTGATGACAATCTTAATATTGTTATTAAATAAAGACTAGTGTTAAAAGATTGATGCTTTGATTCTATCACACAAGTTCAGCATGTAGCTGACTGAAATCTGTTAAATAACTATATATTTTCATTTATTAAAAACAAAACAAAAGACGCACTATGGAAAATTTATTTTGTTTGTTTACATTCTTTTAAACAACAACAGCTAAACCAAAGCACTTTAGAGTCAGACAGTTTTATACTCCAGGTCTCTAAATTATTTAGTGGTCAATGCATGTTTTTGAACTAACAAATAGATGATGATTCATCTCATGAATCACAACAGACTCATCTCACCAACATAACCAACACCTTTATAGGTCAACAGCATCAATACTGCTATCAGGAATATTGACCCTGGATTTACTTGGTATCAGACTTATACCAGAATTTGTAGTACTGCACAGCACTAAGCACCTGCTTTATACATGACAATACTTTAATGTTAGAACCCTGACCATGTTTTGAATGAATGTGTCTGGATTGTGTTTTATATGTGTGGTCTTTATGAGAGGACCTGGGCAGCAGTTTTTGGATGGCGTTGACCTGGCAGCTGCTGGTTGGTTCCCCATTAACAACTAGCTGTTTTAAAAACCCTTATACCAGCAGTTGTTCTCATGGCAGCAACTGACAGCAGCAGACCTGTCCTTGGCTTCCAAACCGTCAGTAATCAATTTTGTGTGTCTTTTGAGAATAATTAGGTTTTGTGTGTAGTGCTGAAAATACTGTTTAGTTTGGTTTTGTTTCACACAGAGGTAGGCTGCACTTCTTTGGAATAGCTTGTTCGTTTATTATTGTGGTCTTTGTTCACCGCAGAGTTAATGCTTTCAGTTTTGGTGTTATTAGTAGGAATAAACCTCACCTTATGTTATATTGGCTTTTGGGTCTGGCTTTGGGGACTGGAGCAGAGACACCTTTTTTAACCCTTATGCTGGTCCTCCTAGACAGAGACTTAAGATTTAACGTTCAGAAATCTCTCAGATGACCACTGAAGTCATTTGGGTTTAAGTGCCTTTTATCAAAACAATGGTTCTTGGTGTGGTAGCTGGGCTGGTGCAGCAAAGCAGTGAACGTGGTAAGGGGCCGTCCTTCAAATTCTGTTCTGTCTGCTTTTGCACTTTTTTTTGCTAATCTTGCAATTTTGGCGTCTACGCCACCAGCGCTCATGTCTAATCCACACTTCCTCAAAGCAGCCAGCTGTGGTGAGTGACAGAGACTTTGTTCGTGCTCTATCGTAGACAGGAAAACATATGGACAGACACTGCTAACCCCAGTTCAAAAGGTCCATGCCACCGCCTGCCACAGACTCCATGCCATCGCCCGCTTTGGGAATTAAACCAACGGGTCCCTTTCCAGCTGAGGCTGGAGGACGCCCATCTCCAGAGCCTGCTGCAGTCTCAGTCAGAGGCCTCAGCGATGTTTGGTTATATCACGTCTCAGCCAGAGGTCTGCGCTCCGCTATCTGGTTCTGCACCTGCCAAACCTGATCCGCATTCGGCACTGCCTGGACCTGCCATGGCATGACCAGGACCTCTTGCACCTGCCACTCCAGGTACCGTCTCCACCTACCAAGCCACCTAAAGGTCTTCACCCACACCTTGACTAGCCTCCAGCCCTGCCACACTTCTGGCAGCCGTCCTCCTGAACTGCTTCTTCTCTGCCGTTAGCCACGTGGCCACACAGCCTGGGTTTTGATTAGTCAATATATATATTTTTGAATTTCTCCCTCTCAGTGTCTAGTCTTCTGCCTTCCATTTGTACAGTTACTGACCTGGATGTCTCTGTGTCACCAGCCTGTATAACTTTATCTACTTACCACTTATTCTCCTTATGGGGATCTGACCTGATATGTTTAATATGCTGCTGAGAATATAGCCCAGAAGAAGCGTATAGTATAGCTTTTATTTTGGAAAGAGCCATTTCTCTGTAATAAACTCTCTTTTCCAAAGATGAGTGATTTCTCCATCAGATAGATTTTTGTTTTATTATATCTTTT